TTACCTTGGCTTTTGAGTACCCCACAGACAGAGTTGAAAGTAAGTTCTACCTGGCCTCCCCCGCTACAGGACATTGCCAATGCCTGGAAGGGTCTGGAGCAGGTAGAGAAGGGTTACGAGGAGTGGCTGCTCACAGAAATCCGTCGTCTGGAGAGACTGGACCACCTGGCTGAGAAGTTTAAACAGAAGTCTACCTTGCATGAATCATGGACCACAGGTATTAGTCACTACCTCTCTGATCTTACAGTCAGCCATTTTCACTCTACTGTGAGGGCTGACATATTCTTTTGTATTTTGTAATGCTCAACACAGGAAAGGAGGAGCTGCTGTCTCAGAAGGACTACGAGTCAGCCTCTCTAATGGAGATCCGTGCTCTGATGAGGAAACACGAGGCCTTTGAGAGTGACCTGGCTGCTCACCAGGACAGAGTGGAGCAGATTGCTGCCATTGCTCAGGAGCTCAAGTAAGATAGATACACCTCAGCTCCCTTGAAATATGAAGAGTACTTTCTTATAGTGTTTACAGTAGGTAATTATAATGATTATAAAGATGTGCTGCTCTTTAGTGAACTGGACTATTATGATGCTGCTACCATCAATGCCCGATGCCAGGGTATCTGTGACCAGTGGGACAACCTGGGAACCCTGACCCAGAAAAGGAGAGAATCACTGGAGGTACATGCATATGATAAAATCTTGGTTGTTACGGTACAGCTGTCCTTCTCAATTGTCTAAATCAACACTTGAATTGAGAATGCGGTCAAACTAATGTAGATTCCACTTCCAGAAACTTTAAGACTCTTTTGCACTTTTAGCCAATGAAGAGTATGGATAAAATATGCAATGTACAGTAGATAAAGGATGTGGGCTTGCTGTAATCTTTGTCTTTCTTTGCCATAGCGTGTGGAGAAGCTTTGGGAGACAATTGACCAGTTGTACCTGGAGTTTGCCAAGCGGGCAGCACCCTTCAACAACTGGATGGACGGAGCTATGGAAGATCTGCAGGACATGTTCATTGTGCACAGTATTGAGGAGATTCAGGTGAAATACAAACACTGAATGCTTGAAGGAGTGCTTATCTTCTTCAATGACATTGTGTACCGGCTTTAGTATCTTATCAGTCTGTTATGGGAGAAGGACGTTGGTGTTGTTCTTCTGTAATAGACTCCTTTTTTGTACCATCTTTCAATTGTCTACTTACGCACCATGTCTTAACATCATTTTGTTCTTTCCTGCTATTGTCAACCTCAGAGTTTGATCACAGCCCATGACCAATTCAAGGCCACCATACCAGAAGCTGATAAGGAACGCATGGCCATCATGGGCATTCATAACGAGATCCTGAAGATAGCTCAGACATATGGGATCAAGGTAGTGGGCGAGAATCCCTACACTGTCCTTTCTCCTCAGGATATTAGCAACAAATGGGAAGCTGTAAGTACTTTACTATCTTTATTTTACCATTTCAGCTTGATCAGCAAGAACAATGGCTCAATGCATTGAGTTCTTTGAGCTAGGAGAAGTCCTTTCAGCTTCTTAACTGAGGAATGTTGCTTCCTTACTAACAACAGGTGAAGCAACTGGTCCCAATGCGTGACCAGATGTTGCAGGAGGAAGTAGCCAGGCAGCAGTCCAATGAAAGGCTGAGACGCCAATTCGCTGCTCAGGCCAATATCATTGGACCCTGGATTCAGATCAAGATGGAGGTGTTTCACCATACACCTCACTCACAGTAGCTACATGTCACATAGTATGAAAAGACTAAAACTGAAATTATCTTCCTTTTGTTCAACAGGAGATCAGCCATGTGTCAATTGATATTGTTGGTTCTCTAGAGGAACAGATGAGCAATCTGAAAACATATGAACAGAACATTATTAATTACAAATCCAATATAGACACGCTGGAAGGAGACCACCAGCTCAGCCAGGAGAGTCTTATCTTTGACAACAAGCACACCAACTACACTATGGAGGTATTGACAACCAGCTATTTTCAATTCATTCTGAAATGTATTTTCTCTTTGAAGTTTCAAGTGTCATTAAGGTAAAGTGTCTTATGCAATTAAACTTCCAAGTCTCTTTAATCTCGCCATAAAGGCATGATTCCTATTTTCCAATTATGTCTATTTTAGCACGTGCGTGTGGGATGGGAGCAGCTCCTCACCACTATCGCCCGCACGATCAACGAGGTTGAGAACCAGATCCTGACCCGTGATGCCAAGGGCATCAGCCAGGAGCAACTGAACGAGTTCAGAGCCTCCTTCAACCACTTTGACCGGGTTAGCAATACATGGAGTGTTTGGATTCATCTTTGAATAAGCAAAGTTATGCAACTTTATCCAAACTGTAGAATAAGCACATTATTTTTTTCTATTTGCAGAAGAGGAATGGCATGATGGATCCTGATGACTTCCGTGCTTGCCTGATTTCTATGGGTTATGATCTGGTGAGTGCATTTATTCCTGGTCAGATTATGACTCTGACAGCTTTTTTGTAGTTTTACAATAATCCAGAAACACAAGGAAGCAAAATCAGCTTTCTTTTATATGAACTCTTCCATTATTTTTTTAGGGTGAAGTTGAATTTGCACGCATTATGACACTTGTGGACCCCAACAACACAGGAGTTGTCACCTTCCAGGCCTTTATTGACTTCATGACCAGGGAGACAGCCGAGACAGACACTGCTGAACAGGTCACGGCCTCCTTCAAGATCCTGGCTTCTGACAAGGTAATTACAAACTAATAGAGCCACTAAAAGAACCTATGTATGTTTTTGGAGAATATGCTAAACACGGCTCTTGTTGTCTAAGCACTCATTTGTTTCTACTATGTTCTGCAGGCGTACATTACAGTGGAGGAGCTGAGGAGGGAGCTGCCCCCAGAACAAGCTGAATACTGTATCAGCCGCATGACCAAGTACAATGTTGGTGATGCTCCCCCAGGTGCCCTTGATTATATCTCCTTCTCCAGTGCCCTGTATGGAGAGAGCGACTTGTAGAGTCCTACCTGACATGTACACCACCTACAACATCTCCTACACGCTTCCCCAAAATTCATGAAACCCTTAAATATCTAACTCCTAGAACAATGTCAGATGTAATGGACGGCTTTGCTGCAGTGATTTAGTTCTGTGCGTCACCAGTTGATATCCCGTGACACCCATCAGTTGCTGTCTGATCTTGTTAGTGGTCCATCCCTTATGTTGTGAAAAGTTGTCTCACAAAACAGTAGGGATTGAAGAGTACAAAACCTAACACAATATAATTATTCACAATGGCACTGGTAATAAGAGACCTCTTATTCATACAAATGGATTTTGAAGGAAGAAAACTAAATTACCCTGAAGAATATCATATTTTTTGTATTTTGTTGTTTAATCTAAGCATATATATATATATATATATATATATCTGAACTTTATGAAAACTTTACTGTTAAGTGCTTAGAGTGTGTTTCATCGGTCTAGAGTGCTAAAGCTAGTCAATAATTTGCCATTACGCATATAGTCTAATGTTTGTTTGTTCCTGACTAGGGTTTCTGCAATTACCCACAGGTTGAAGGTGAAGCATTTGCACATGAAGCGTTTGCATATTTTACAATTTTATTACAAACGGAGTAAACAACAACAAATAAAAAAGCATACAAAATGTAAAAGATAAATAGATGCACCTATATATAAAATGAATAAAAAAATACCAATAAAAATAATTAAAAATCTAAAAACACACCAAATATGAAAACATACACATAATAGATGTAATTTGATGTTAAAAAGAAAAAAGAAAAAAAAGATGTAAAATCTAAATGCAAATGGAAGAAAAACAAACAAGTAAACATGCTAAATGTAAAGGACTTCCCTTTAAAAAAGAAAACACCCCATGGAAATGCAAGTGTTCTAATACACACACATAAAGAAGTTTAAGAGAAAAGTTTACATCTACAGTATCTAAATTTCAGTTTTGTTTTTCTTCATGAAACCTTCAGAAACCAATACTATGAAGTGCTATAAAGCCCAAAGTATACTTGTCGATGCTCTGCTGCTCCTTCTCGTGTAATGTAAATTTTGTCATCTGTACAGTCTGCTGATGTCCGTGCACACAATCTGTGTGCAGCCCATGTTTGTTCACACAGACAACAGTGCCTCAAAACAGTAGTCATTTCAAATATGTTCATGTTGGGGGGTGTCGTGGAAATTTCTGAAATTGATCAATAAATGTGAAACTGAGAATGAAAAACCAGTCAAAGAGTTTGTCTTTGTCTTGCTTTTAATTTCTGCAGAAATGATTTAGTTTACAGACAGAGTTTCACCCTCTGAGTGCAAAGGAGATAAAGAGAGGTCCCTGCTAACATCATTTTATACCCCAAAGTAACATTGAAAGATAACTGTATACCCTGGGCCTCTGCTCTTCACCAATCATATGCTCACAAGTTACTGAAAAACATCACGCCACCAGATATCAAGAACATGAAGTAACTGTTCTAACATCTTCATCATGCTCAGACTTGAATACAGAATATAGGATTCATCAATTTAATCACATCATTATCATATCATTTAATCAATCAATCAGATTATAATTAATCAATAATAAATTTTTCTATTACAGGGGATAATGGGATAGTGAGATAATAGAAGTGTCAGCTTGTGGGATCTTTCCCAAAGAATTCTTTTAAAAGTACTTACTGTGGAGCATAGCTCATGGAAAGGCAAGCAAAATATCCATTCGTCATGGCAAACAAAGACATGATGCTGATATAAGCCATGTCATGATTGAAAAAGACTGGGAGATAGAAGCGAGGCTGAATGTTGCAGAGCATGAGGGCAGGAATGAAAACTACCCGTAATACCACAAAAAGAGGGAATAAATGACTCTTCATCGAAGGCTGGGAGTTTGGGAAAAGAAAAAAGATATGTTAGATCAACAATAATTTCCATAGTTAGGCATTGCATTGTGTTGATACAGGCTCCTACGAAAACTCACCCACTGAAGACGAGAAGTTAGACTTCTGCCAATCCAGTCCATCACATTGAAGACAATGAATGAACACAAAGGTACGAAGATGTTATCTATAAGATGAAAAGTTATGTAAATCACAGTGCTTTGACAAGCATAATGCATGAGCTAGACATCTTGTACAGACTCACCTTTCCCGTCAAATAAGCCAGAAGGTTTTGTATTTATAGTAATTGCTGGAAAAACGGACAGTGTGACGGCAAACACACGTCACACATAAAGCCATCACCCAAATCTATTAAAAAAAATAAAAATAAATCAAGCTATGCACCTACTAATTCTTTTAAAATACATCCAGTGAATTTTTCCTAATGGTGCGTTTATAAACAGAAAAGACGTTCGCTATACCTTTTTGAAGACCTGTGGCACAGTTGACTTCTCCTCAGTGGGATCCTGTTTGAGCTCATTCAGCTTTTTACATGCTTCACTTTCAAATCCTTTGTCAAAAAAAAAGAAGAAAAAAAAAGTAGTCATTTGAAACATGATGGCTATTGCTGGGTATAGGACACATTTTTGACATATTATAGACATAACATTGCACAATATTAACAAAGTCAACACTTTTAAAAGCACAATGGTGCTCAATTTAATATTGCAGATATTGTCAATATTCGCTTACTTGAAAAGGTAGCTCGCTGTGACTCATAGATTAATGGAGTGAAACATACATCACACGACTCAGGAAACATGACAAGCAAAAGAAGTTCTGAAAAGACAAGCTGTTATTTTTCACACATTTCTAAAAGCAGGTAATGAACATAATCTGTGACACTTACGGTAGGCTGTTTTTTAATATTATAAATGCCTCAAAAGACCAGGTTTCTGTACTGAAACCTAACACCCCATATATTCTATTTTACCCGCTAAACTATTTTTACACAGAATGGTGTGTGTACTGCTGAAGTTTCACAAAACCTTTTTATCATTTGCATAAAGATTGTCTACTTTGAACTGGATAAATCTAAAATGAAAATGAGCATTTTGCACCAGTTTGTCATTCAGTAGGTCTACATGACAACAGTGCTTTAGTATTTTCTCTTCCCCTGTAGCAAACATGCCCTTCAGTGCTTTGATAATATACTATGAAAATATCAATAAATATTCACCCAAGCTGGTGTTAATGTGTAAGGCAAGGAGGATGAACGTTCCTGATATAGTAATAAAATAGTTCTCAAATGACCCCTTGAGTTTGAGTTTCTCTCTGGACCAAAGATCAAATTATTGTGGTCTTCAACCCTTAAAAATATTCCGTCTCAGTATTCTCCTAACAAATCTGGGTTTTCTGCATCTATATTTTGATGTCAAAATGAAAATAGAATCCATGACAATTTTAGATGAACATAATTACCTTTTTTTATGATTATTAAATATATAATGGTCAATGGCTAATGGTAATTATTTTGTTGTGTGTGCTGGGAAATTGATGTTTTTTATTTGACTTGAAGTTAAACATTGACCACTGAATGTAAATAAAATCCTCCTGCTGACTCCACTATAAAAATGTCCCCCTGTTCATTTGCTTTTGTATTTGCTTCTTAATCTCAGCTCAACGTGGAATAAACAGCATGGAGTGTAAGCAGCAGTTGAAATGGTTACTGCTTGCAACGATATGTCTTCTTATTGCAGGTATACGTCTTTCTGCTTATAATGCATTCTGAAATATACAGACAAAAATATTTTGGCTTGTATCAAATGGGTTTTTAATGCAAATAAAACCACAACAATTGACAAAAGTTACTTCCGTCATATTTTTCATGGCCTCCTCCAATAATCTGGCTGTTTCCACTACAGGTGCTCCGTCCTCCATGTCCAAACGAGACAGTTCGTGTCCCAAAGAGAATCTAAACATTACTGGAGGAATCTTTGTTCTTTCTAAAGGCTATTCACATGGGAGTCTTCTAAGATACATCTGTCCGAATGGATATTACCCGTCGGTTCAGTCATGTCTGTGTCAAGATGGAAACTGGACCTCAAAGACCAAAATCAGAAAAACCCCAGAGTGCATAAGTAAGAAACAAGGCATTATTTGTGTCATTATATCATGAATAAATGCTGGACTTATTTCTTTGTATTATACTCTTCTACTGTATGCATTTATTCATGCATTTATCCTAGAGATCACATGTCCCAATCCCCGTGTTTTCGAGAATGGAGAGGTGAGTCCATATAAAGACAAGTACTATGTAAATGACACAACCACCTACTCATGTCATTCCGATTGTACATTCCGTGGCTCAGAGGTCCGTGTTTGCAAGCCTAATGGGAAGTGGAGTGGAAGCACACCAATTTGTGAATGTGACTGTAAGTAATCGCTATTACTTTGTAAATATATAAACACACAGCAGTTTCCATGAACTAGTTTTCAAACGTAGGTCCACAGATCTTCACATCCATTTGTCTGTTTATTACTGTCTCACAGCTGATCACTGTCCTGATCCTGGTGTTCCCCCTGGTAGCAGTCGAACAGGGAACATGTTTAACATAGACGACAAAGTCACGTACCGCTGTGAGAGTCCATTGACCTTGATTGGTTCCAAAGTGCGAGTGTGTCTGGATGGAGGCCAGTGGTCAGGAACAGAGCCACAATGTTACGGTGAGTCTCCTTATAGCTACATCAAAATTTCAAAATCGTGTGTTTTGTAAAGGAGTTGTTGGCCATAAAATTTAGCTTACTTAAATTGGCTTTTCTGATTAATGTTGTGTAAATACTGTACAGCTGATTTCACATACGACACCCCAGAGGAAGCATCAGAAGCTTTCAGCAGTTCTCTAAAGTCAAAACTAGCAGTTTCTCAACAGTATGAAAAAGAAGGTACCTTTGTGTGACTTAAAGCATAAACACACACACACACACCTTTTTAAAATCTTCATTATTAATTGCCATGCTCAGAAGAAGAGACAAAATCACATCAGCACATTTAAACATGAATACCATGTTCCTTCTGCTTTCAGATCAGCAGGGGAAGAAAATAACTATGGATCAGAGTGGAAAACTTGATATTTACATTGCTGTGGATGCATCTGGCAGCATAGATGTGAAGGATTTTGAGAAAGCAAAAACCACCATCAAAATGCTTATAGACAAGGTATGTTGATTGTCAAATCGTCAGAGGTTACTGTAGTGAAGTTGTAAGACCACTTATTTAAGCATTGTTTTTAGGCTACTGATGTAGGTTATGCATCCTTTCTTAAAATGTTCTGTAATAAAATACCTATATTTGAAAAGGAAGAATTACCATTGTGATACACTGAGATGCTCTCAAGACTGAACTTGATTTTTAACCTCCTCGTCATTGTCAGAACCCTCCAATTTGAGCATTAGTGTGTTTCAGGAGGGCGTAGTCTCCCACAATCCACTGTATACTTGCTGCATCTGAAAATCCGGTTTCACATTATGGAAACATGAACTGCACTGAAATCCAGCATTTTGATCGTATAACAGACAGATGTTGCTTTCAACTTTTAATTCTCAATGCTCTTTCCCCAAAAGATTAGTTATTACCCGGTCTCCCCAAACTATGAGATCCTGATATTTGCCACGGACGTTACACCGATAATCACTATGAGGGAGTTCAAAAAGAATGAAGATGCAAGAAACCTAATGAATATTTTTAAAGTGCTGGACGACTTTAATTATGAGAGTAAGTATTCTGTTTGAATGTCTCTTTTTGAGTGTAATTGTATACATGGATATAATTAGATTTTTTTTAGAGATTATTATTACAGAGTAATGTATTATGCAAAAATGGTACTTTTTAAGTCTAACTTGAGGATAATACATTTATTGTTGTAAATGTACACATCGCTGTCCAATTTAATAGTTAAAATAAAACAAATTTTACATTCTTAAAAAAAAAAAAAAAAATTCATGTTGTAATTTTGAATAATTTTAATTTGGTTTTAGTCAGTTGTTTCAATCAGAATGTTTCTCTGCTGACTGTAATATTCTGGTGTGAAAAAACAGGTATAGGTGAACAAACAGGTACCAATATCGCCAAAGCCTATTCAGCAATTTTAGACAGCATGAAAATAGAGGAGCTCAACAATGCAACGACTTTCAGTGAGACCCAACACATCGTCATACTGTTCACTGATGGTATTGACTTTTCAGTATTTACGTACAATTTAATAATTTTTAAATACAATGCTTAAAAATTATTTTACACTTAATCAGTTTAAGTTCTTTATCAGAACAAATAAATTAATATATTAATAAAATACTCATACACTGTATTACAAATTAGAATAGAGATCAAACTTGAAGCAAATATTCACTGTAATTTATCTCATCTTACTTCATAGGTCAGGCAAACATGGGGGGGAATCCCAAACGTAAAGTGAACCAGATCAAATATCTTGTCACCAAAAATGATCCAATGCGAGAGAAGAATCTTGGTGAGTATGAAATTTATTAATCATAGTTATATTTTAAATAAAAATATTTGGACTATAAGTATTTTTTTATTTTTATTTATAAATTTTGTGTTTCATTAACAAGCAACATCATCAGGGACAGCAACAACAACAAAAAACAAACACACATATTTGTTTAGAAGTCTTTATCATTGATTTCATATTGATATGGATGTGTCCTCTCTTTCCAGATCTTTATGTATTTGGACTTGGAGATGACGTGAATCAAGAAGACATAAATGGCTTAGTGTCACAGAGGGACCAAGAAAAATATTTCTTTAAGCTTAAAGACTTGACAGAGGTTCAGGAGATGTTTAATGACATGATTGGTACTGTATCTGTACTTCACCCAAAAGTGAAATTTCTGTAATTATTTAATCACCTTCATGTTCATCTTTTCTGTGGAACACAAAAGAGAAATGACTGTTATGCTCTAAAAAAAAAACCCGCACAGTTGCAATAACACTATTGTTTGGATGAATCAGTTTCGCAGTTCCTGACCTCTTGGAATAATTCTTTTTAATTTACTCAGTGTTAATTGCTGTTGTTATTATTATTATTAACACTTTATACCTGCTTCTTTACACAGATGAGAGCACCAGTGTAGGATTGTGTGGGATTGTGTGGGAAGGCTTGGAAAATAAACGCCGTGCATTTCCCTGGTTGGCACAGATTAATATTCAAGTGAGCATAACCTTTTTATCATTTTATTATAGAACTCAATGAAGTTAAAGGAAACATTTTCTCCCACAAGAAGAAGAAACATGCATATTATGGCTAAAGAGTTGAACCTTATGAACATCAGTCTTCTCTGCTCTTCGTGTAGCATACTTCTTCAAAAGGTTCCAATTGCATGGGGTCATTAGTTTCCTCAAGTTACATCTTGACAGCGGCTCACTGCTTCAAAGAGGGAGACACACCTGATAGGATAATAGTTAAACTGGAAAAAGACCTGAGTATGTTCTGATACATCCATATTTTCAGACTGAAGTAAAACGTGTCACAGGGTAAATC